GATTTCTCTGCCCTGAACTGGGACCAAAAATGATGACTTAATATACGGGAATCACGAAAAACTGATGGATTCCTCTGGGGTGTTTTTTACTTGACACAAGCACTGTGCTGTTCTTGCCTTTGTCCTTGCCCTTGCCCTTTGGAATGACCCTTGGTCCTGGCGTGTCCTGTTGTGACAATTTCACGCTTCTCGGACGCCGCTGACAAGCTGACAGCTGCCACTTGAGCGATGGCGTTTATTAGTTATTAAACGGCGTGATTTATGCCCGCGGCCAAGTGCACCATGGAACCAATGCCAGTCCCTGTCCAATCCCACATCCATCCCCTGCAATTGGCCTGCACTTTTGGCGGCGTAATAAGGTCGTCGTCGTCGTCTCCCGGGGAGCAATGGAATCCCTCCCTGGAACCGGACATCTGCGGTTCCGCGCCGTCAAGAATGGAAGTTGAGGATGCAGAGAGTTGATAGTTCTCCTCGTTTAAAGGGATCTCGATGGGGAAATGTTGGAGTATTCAGGAAGCCGATATTACTATTGCTATATTATTTAAAAATTAAGCAGGATTTATCTATTCAGAATCAAATATAACATAGAGAACATAGAGAACTCTTGATGACGTACCAAATATGGCATAAGCAAGGCTCATTTTTCTTGTAATGTATACTTTTAAATGTACAATTATCTTAATGGTGGAATTTATATAAAAACTTCAAAAAATAACCTCTCCTTGTAGTACCTTTTCCAACACAGTAGTACCTTTCACAACCCTGCGAATCAAAGACCCCGGCCGTGTTGCCAATGTTGATACATATGTAAAACTGATTGATAACAGTTTATTGTTTGTTCAATTTCCCGCTTTTTGGGAAACTATAATTGCCAAACTGTAGAGAGTCTCATAGAGAGCAACCCCTGAGTTGGGACGACGACGAACCCTTGTCGCCCAGTCAGTCAGTCCATTTGACTTTGTCCTAAAATTGAGCTGCCTACTGTGAGCTGCTGTTTGTTTATACTTATTTCATTTTCACACCCCCTTGCGGGTATTCCTCACCATCTTCCTCCGGAGCCACTAGAGCCACCCCTTCATCCACAGCCTCATCATCATCATCACCATCATCATCATCGTTGTTGAAATCGGTCTCAGGTTACTTTGTTTTCCTTGGCCTCCATTGTTTGTTTTCGTTTCCGTTTCACTTTTCGCTAGGTTTGTTTGTCATTTTGAAAAATGCGTTTTACAGTTTGTTGTTTTTTTTTCAAAATTCAATTGTAGACGGCCGCAGCCCGCTGAAATAAAAAAACACCCCTTGGAAGGTATCTGCCTTATCCTCATCTGACATCCGCCTTGACTCCCCCTGCGGCTAATAACGTCCTCGTCAGTTCCGGTAGCTACGTCCTTCCTCCCGAAAGTCCTCACCCCTTCATTTTTGGTAAAAATCCCTGCTCCTGCTTGTCCTTTTTGGTGCCAACACCAAATTATGGTTGGAAATTTTAACACAAATTTGCAGAGATTTTAAAGCCAGCGGGATGTCCCCTATTGGGACACTTGATATTTTTACTATTATTAAAGAAAGTTTTCTACAGTAACTAATGAAAATTTAGTTTAAATTTATGTAAAAATACTTGAAGCCTGCTCAATAATTCCAATTCAATATTAGTAAATAATTTTTTAATAAGTTAGTCTTTTAACTTTAAATATATGTTTGTAGATATCCCTAATAAAAATTGCTGCAATTATTAATTACTTAATTAAGTAAAGCATACCTAGCATATCTGATTCCGGACTTGGCCTTGATTTCTCCTCAAGCATCTATTAATATGATATAATTGTCATGGTAAAGACTTACCGCAGTGGAGGGGACACGTCATTACTTATCTTCTTCTTCCGGTGTAGAGTTGACTTCAATTAGTATCATCAATTAAACTCTTCCTGGTCATCCAGATATATTCCTTTGGTCAAGTCATATTATTGGGTTCGAAGGTAATCACTATCACTATCACTTTCGATGTTAACAGGTGGGGTGCCGCGCACTGACTAAGGGCCGCGCGGCCGAATGTGCCTCTATTTATAGTCCCCGACTAAAGAGAATAGAGAAAGTGAGAGAGTGAGAGCGAGAGATTAAGAGCTATCTCCAGAGCTTAGCAAGCCAAAAATTAATGAGTAAGAGTGAGAGTAAGAGTGAGTGGGAGAGAGAGGTGGCAAGAGGGAGTGATAGAGGCACTGACAGAGTAAATAGATTCTCAGCTTTGCATTAATCTCTTCATTTAACGATCGTTCCAATGGCAACTATATGATATAGTTGTTCGATCCGGTCTCTTTCGACTTATCTACTAATGAGAGTATATAGAAGGCTAACTGCAAAAATTCATTTAGATTTAGCGTTTAAAATGACATGGCTAGATTAACTGATGCTGATCGAGAATATATATACTTTAAATAGTCTTCTTCTTCACTGCTTTGCAAACTCCTGACTACAATTATAATACCCTGCAGAACTATAAAAATTAAATCCTTTCTAAAGCAACAACTCAAAACGAAATTTGTAATTCTTAATATATATATATATATATATATATATATCTTAAAAATTATATATATAGTCCAAGGTCTTACAACTTTCCTATATCTGATGGTAATCTTTCCAATTTCTCAGCAAAGCTAAATCAATTCCAATCGCAAATAAAGACCCAAGGTGGGAACACTGGAGTTGGTGTGTTGTCACTAATCCTGTGACACATAATCCCATCCACGAGCACGCGTTCCGGGATCTCCTCCGTGGAAGTTACCCCGTTCTGTTTACAGTTTCCCGGAGGAGAGTCGGAGGCAGTTGCGCTCCATTTGTCATCTTCATAATGGGCACGGAGTCAGCCGGTGGAGCGTGTCATCGTCGCCATATCTCACGGATTACAAAAACGAAGCGGAGGCGCGGCTATATGGGCACGTGTCTGGTTGAAGGAGGAGCGAAAATTAGAGATCACTATCGGACGGAACACGGATATTTATGTTCACCTAAGACGGGGCATTAGCCAGAGCTCTTCCTTCCGAGGTCTAATGACACGTAAACCAAGTCGTTAAAGGTTGCCCTTCGAGAGAATTATCAGGGAAAGCGGATCTAAAACTGAGTCACAGGGATTAACTTTGTATTTTTTTAATAATACATATATACTTTCAACAGTATTATAACCATTCTAGAATTTTATATAAGTCCTAATCAAAATATTTTTTATCATTTAATTAAGTTTTAAATGTTAGCTTAAACACTGCTTATCAAGTGTATTTTGTGCCAAGGACCTACATGGATTTGGATATCCTAAATAAGAACTGGACTACTTTGTGCTTCCAAGTGGGGGATGTCTTTGCCAGGGGCTGCTGTCAGTTCTCATTAGGGGGCAGTCGGGCCGAATTGATTGATTTATTTTGGCAATTATGTGCATTCGATTAAAAGTTGAACTCGCAGTCACGCGGCGCTCGCTAATAATATGCAGAGACCCCCGGCTCAGCCCCTTGTCTAGCGAAGGAGCCCAATAAAAAACAACATAAATCCCCCAGAAATATCCCATGGAGCTGGGGGGGATTACATGGCACCGAATTGAAAACCAATTGCGACTGGGAATGAAAAATCGCGCCAACAAACCCAGCAGGCGGCGGGTAAGGGAACCGGGAACAGGACTCCGGCAGGACCTTCAACGTGGTGGGGATGTGGTGGCATGTGGCCTGTTTACAATGTCGCTCGACTTGGACAAGGGGATTTCTTTGTTTTGGTTTGGTTTTAATTTTGAGCAGCGAATAAATTAAATCAACCGACAGTCGAAATAATTGCCGGAAATTGGTGACGTTGTTGAAATTTCTTCTCTGTCCTCCAATTGAGTTGGAGTCCGGTGCTTAATAAGATTATGCGTGACCCGACGAACATGGCTTCCATTAGCAAGGACCTTTGGCCGGGCTCAAATTTGAGGCTCAAATAGAACGTGTGACGGACAAGTTAAGCTTGACTTCGAGCAATAGAAATGGAAATTATATAATATAATTAATAAGATTAAAAATAAAAATTAAAAAATAAACAAATACTATATATCTAAGAGAGTAATTGAGTTGATTTGAGAGTACTCTTTACTCAGCTTACAGCTTCTCAATAATATGATTTTCCCAGATCAAAAGCTTTAAAAACCCCTTTATAAATTATTCGCCCGACTGATTGAAACTTAGTTTACCTAGAAGATTAGAAGAAACCCCTATTAAGGTTTCAAAAAATTTTAAAATAATGAACTAAAACAAGAAACACACATTTGAACATATACATATTATCTACTAAATAATACTTGCAAAAATGGTTTAATAAATATGAAGAAAATATGTTGAAAGTGACAACAAAGCAAGTTTTCAGATTGCAGTTCCGATGCAAAAGCTTTGATAACCTGTATTAAAATCATTTTCATCTCCGATCGAGGTTTAGTTTCAATCAAAGCTTGCTGAAAGATGATTGTCGACGTTCGAGTGTTTTCCCTCATATTTGGGGTATTGCCCGTATTCTTATCGCGTAAGTTGCAAATTGGATGAAGGAAAACTGTTTGCACATTATCATTTAATAAGCATAATCTTAGTTTTTAAATTGTTTTAATTTGGTTACTTTGACACAATTGCAAACTAGTAATGATAATCAGAGACTAATAAAAGTGAGTGAGTAGAAATGAGAGAGTTAACAAAGCTCTCGTTCGTAATATGTATGTGTGTGATACAAAATACAATATGGGATAAATTATAATCCTAATAAATTAATAACAAAATATTGAGAAATTAATGATTTTTTGGTAAATTTATCCAGCGGCAATTCAAACCATTTCTTACTTTAAATCCCTCTTGCAGCCACTCAAGGTGTGGACCTGCCGCAGGAATGTGGCAAGCTACGGGAGACACAACTCCACAACGAGCAGATGATCACTGCCCCCGATGAGTACACCTGGATTGGTCGTGTGGGCTATGGGAGGCGGATAAACCAAAACTGAAATTCCTATGTTTGGCAGTACTGATTCACCAACGCTACGCGATCCTCCCGGTTCACTGTGTCCATGCCGGCCAATATACACCAGAGTTGATCGTTTTCGGGGACTGGCGCGGCAACGAGAACTACCGGGTGGGTGACTGTCGTCTGGAGAGAGGTTTCACCACATGCTCTCCGCCTCCCCAGGCCGTGGACATCGAGGAGATTGCAATGCATCCGCAGTACGAGCCGGCGAAACACGACTACGACATCGCCCTGGCCAAGATGGTGCGGAATGTGGAGTTCTCGGAATTCGTGCAACCTCTGTGCCTGCCGCCAGCTCGCGAGATCGAAGGCAATCATATATCCCGACGCCTGGAGATGGCGGGATTTGCTAGATATAATCATGCACTCGAGGAACAGATGGATGACTATGAGTGGCGCCGGAAGGTGACGAGGCATACGACCAGCCTGGAGTTTTGCAATTCGGCATCGGTAAATTATAGAGTGACCTTTACCCAGAACCACTTGTGTGGCGTTAGTCCCGGCAAGAATATACTCATGTCCGGTGCACCACTGATGGACGTCGAGGTGGTGGACGGAAAACCTCGGAACTTTTACCTGGTCGGAATAAACACCTTTGGAACATCTTTGGGTGCTTCCGGTTCAATTAACATTGACGGATTCCTTCGCATCTTGCCTTTTAGAAATTGGATATTGAAAAACATCGAATAAACCAAGCCATATAATAGAATGTTTATACTAAATTGATTAATAATTTAACCTATATAATAATAACATTTAAATATTTTATAGGTCAATCTTTGTTTAGTTTATAACTCACAAGATGAAGATGTTTAAATAAAGAAACCAAACAAATTGAAATATGAAATCTTCATTAGGAACAATTTTGAGCTAGTCTTTCAGATTAAATAGTGACAACAAATAATCTTTTAAAGCTAAAAGCTCACCAAGATAGATTTTTGTTTATAGATTCTCAGATTTCTGTTCTCAATGCAACGTTTTGCACTTGACAAAAGCTTTGATAACCTGTATAAAAAATACTCTCGTTAATAATCGAGGTTTAGTCTCGATCAAAGCTTGCTGGAAGATGATTGTCGGTGTTCAATTGCTTTTCCTCTTAATCGGGGTATTGTTTGCATTCTTTTCGCGTAAGTTACAGATCAAGTGAAGGAAAACCCTTAGAAAGTCTCGTTATATCAGAAAAGATTTTGATATAATTACTTCATTTGTGACACAGTCGCAAGCAGAGGTTTCAAATCAGTGACTAATAATGATCACTGAATTCCAGAGAACATGATAAACAGTCAAGAGAATAAATAATACAAATACAATAAAATACAATCATACATACTTAATAATATTCTATTACACATCCTATTATTTTGTACTTAAAATCCTTTTTGTAGCCACTCGGAGCCAGGAGCTGCCCCAGGAGTGTGGAAAACTGAGGGAGACCCAGCTTCACAATGAGATGGAGATCACCGCCGCGAACGAGTACACCTGGATTGGTCGTGTGGGCTACGGGGAGTCGAGTAATCTGAACACCAAATTCTCATGTCTGGCCGTGCTGATCCACCAGCGGTTTGCCATCCTTCCGGCTCACTGTGTCCTGATCGATGATGATAACTCCACAGCCATGTTCATCCTTTTCGGAGACTGGCGCGCCAATAGAAACTTCAAGACGGGTGACTGCCGCCTGGAGAGGGGCTCTACCACATGCACTCCGCCACCGCAGGCGGTGGACATGGAGCAGATCTCGGTGCATCCACAGTTCAAGTTGGGAAATCACGACTACGATATTGCCCTGGCCAAGATGGTGCGGAACGTGGAACTCTCGGAATTCGTGCAGCCTCTGTGCCTGCCGCCAGCTCAAGGGATCGAGGGCAACCACATCTCCCGACGGTTGGAGATGACGGGATTCACGCAGGAGCATTCCTGGAATGAGGAAAAGATCCAGGACGTGGAATGGCGGCGAAAGGTGGTAAGACATACGACCAGCCTGGAGTTCTGCATCGCTCTAACGGAGGCTCTTGACGAGCTGACCCTCTCCCAGAATCACCTGTGTGGTGTTGAAATTGAGGGGAATCACCTCATGTCTGGGTCACCGCTGATGGATGTCGAGGTGGTGGATGGAAAACCTCGAAACTTCTACCTGGTCGGAATAAACACCTTTGGAACAGTTTCTGGTACTTTTTCTCCTATTTACATAGACGGATTCATGCGCATTTTGCCATTTAGGAACTGGATCTTGAAAAACATTGAATATGCTTTGCCATAGACACTTGGCCATATCGCTTTGAAGTATAACATTTGTATATCTTAATATTAAAATATGCAGGAAATAAGAATTAAACTTATTAGATTTTAGAAGAGATTTCTGTAAATATTATGTCATGTTCTCTCAGATTAAAGTTTCTCAGTGATCATCTGAACAAAAGCTTTTGTAACCCTCTATCAAAATCATTCGATCTACTCATTGGCATTTAGTTTATTCAAAAGCTTTCTTAGAATATGTTTTCCGGTATTCAAGTAGGAAAGTATTGAAGATAAGAAACACATTAATTTGAAAGATGAACCAAACTATAAACTAAAAGATTTTAAGTTACATTTCATTGTTTAAACTGTATAATAAAAACAACAACATTTTAAGAAAATAAATATAAATGTAATCTGATTTTATTGGCTCTCCGATATTCATCGATTTGCACTGAACAAAAGCTTTGATAACCAGTATTAAATTTATTCTCACTGCTGTTGAGGTTTAGTTTCAATCAAAGCTTGCTTAAAGATGATTGAAGGTCTTCCAGTGTATTTTCTTACGTACTATAACTCTGTACATTACTACATATATTATAACTTGATTATTTCCCCTCTTTGTAGGAATAGCTTCATCCTTTATGTAACACATCAGAAGTCTAGGTAAGTGCCAGGTGCGTCTCCTTGCCCACTTTATTACTAGCAATTAGTAATAAATCTGAGAGGGAGCGATAGACCATTTCGGAAATTTATTTACCAAACTGTAGGCATTTGTCTTGAGTATTCCGGCTGTCTGGGATAAATCAAAACTTTCCTTGCCATAAATAAAAGAATGGCTAATAATTACAGCACTGTCCGTTGGCCTCGTCCCGGCACATATCCTTCCTTACTGCTCCTCCCCCGAAGGAAGAAATGTAAATGAGTCTCCAGCGACTAATAAATTCCCAATTACACATGGACTTGGTCCGGCCAGGGACGTCTGATGGCCAGCACACCAAGGTCCACTCATAAAACTATGCAGGCACACCCTCTTCTTCCTCGACCACCCCCCTTTCGTGACGTACCATGTAGCAATAAACTAAAAAGCATAAATTTCTGAAAACGACAAATTCATGCACTTGGCAAATTTTTTATAAGGGGAGAAAAACGAAAATGGAAAATCAAACGGAAAACACGGAAAATCACAATTACGTTCGAGGTGAGAGGGGTGAATCCAGGGGGAGGGAACGGAGCACTCAATGTCCAATTACGGGTGACGACGACGAGGAAGTCGATGCCGGGAAATGCCAACATCTGTGACCCCGTGCTAGATGGAGATGCGTGAATGACCTCCGGCAATCGCATTTGTTCCAACTGCCTCCTGATCCTTGTCCTCCTCATCCTTCTCCTGGTCTAATGCACGAGATGAATTCCTCTGATATCGGAAAAGCCCAGAGAGGATGCAGCTGAGGTCATTAAGTAAATATACACGGGTCAGCAGGATATCGATAAGGATCGGTCTTCAAGCATATGGAAAATTAGACAATCGATTGGAACTATAAATTGCAAGTTAGTGGGATATAAAGTAATCGTTCAATTCTAAAATCTCAACAATTTTCTTAGCTTTAATATTGAAAAAAGTACTACCTAATTAAAATTTAGTTAATTTATCATAAATTAGAAATATATATAAATCAATTTCACCTGTGTGTATAGTGCATTAAATTATAATATTTTTGTATTAATATAATTGTAACGTTAAGGAGAACTTTTTAAATAGAAAATTATTCACAAATAGCTATTCTCTTTGCGATTCTATTAATATATTTACTATTTTATAAACACACCTTCATTAAACTTTTCCAAATCAAACGCCTTCTAACGTCTTGATTAGTTTTTTATCGCATTTTGGGTTTAAAAATTTCAGTCAAAAGCTCAAAACGCAGTGAAGAAGTCATTTCCGACCCTATAAATCATATATATACTTGATCAGCGTTAGGAGGCGAGTCGATCTAGCCATCTCTGGTAGTAAATACAATTTTTCAAATTTTTCACAATTTTATAAGGGGTCACATCGTTAAAATTGCAAAAAAAAAAATGCCAAAATTTAATTTTGTTTAAATTTTAAATTAAGTATGTAGATTTATTAACGCAATAAAAACAAACTTAGAAAAGCTTTCAAAACTAAAATGAATGAATTTTTGGCATAGTTATGAGTTTTTTAAACACTGATTTTTTAAAAATTTCAATATAAAAGATCTTTAAATATTTATTTATAGAATGGGAATATTTCAGGTTTTCTTAAGGGTCGAAAACAAATATATTCTCAAAGTCATATATTTGTAAATAGATTAAATATTTTGACATATAAAAAATTACTAACATGAGACAAATCACTGTCTAAACTAACCAAAATAAAAGAAATACTTATGTATAGTAGTCCTTTTTTAATAATCCCTAAAAATATGGTAAATATACCCCTTGTTTTTTTTTGCAATTACCATTTACTTGGAGTTCCTAACAAGTTCTCACCGAATTCGGGTCTCGTTAAAATTCCTGCGAAATCAGTGCGAAATGAAATGAACACAAAAAAAGTAAATATTTGTATCCTTCCTTACATATGTTTTACGATATTCGTGACTCTGTGCATGTGTCTGTGTGTGTGTTTATACGAGTATCCCTGCCAGCTGTGGGGGGCTTCCCCCTAGCTCATTTGGTGGGGTTACCCCACTCACACAGTCGTTGATATTATTCGTTTTTATGCCTTTTTGCATACTTTATATACATATATATATATTTGTGCAAAATTTATGTGCGCTATTGTTTTTATGGCATGCACCCATTTCGCCCCCAAGTGCCATATATGTGTATGTCCTGGAAGAAGGCCGAAATGTTATCCTTGTTCGAAAGGCATTTTAATGCCAACCAGGGTTTGGGTGCGAAATGGAATGGCATAGGGATTGGAATTGGGGACTGGGATTGGTTGGGTTCTCTGACTGTTCTGGCACTTTTCTGCAAATTATGGCACATGCGGCGACGTCGGCATTATGCCTGATCCTTTTGCCTTTGATATGGCACACAAAGTATGTATATATACATGCGTATGTCTGTCCATATGTAAATCCGTATATGCCGGAGCTCTGCCACTTAAGCTGCTTATGTGGCAAAATACATAAAATAAAAATAAAATGGAAAGCACAAATGGCAAGAGAGTGTGGTGGGAGAGAAAATCCTCCCATAACGAGCATTTCCCTCTGCCATATTTGTGTTATTTTATTATCATTTTTCCTTGACGATTTTTTGTCCTTGTGAAAGCTTTTCCCACAAAATGGCGACTTGTGTTATAATTCTTTTTGGTTTTTCTTTTAAATTTGGTTCCTCGGTAATAATATTAAACTATAACGAATAATTCTAATGAAACACAATGAATTTAAAGTTACTTTGATCTTGTTTTTTGTTTGATTAAAATATTTAATTCAAATTTCATGAGTTGTATTATCAAAATGATATATATATATATTTCCTATATAATCCTACATTTTTCTTTCTGTGCTTTCATCTGCTCCTTAGATTTGTGCCGCTTCTTTTCTTCTTAGATGTGAATACTTACTTTTATATCTGTCAGATATGAGTTGCCATAAACTGTACGTGCTGGTGCGGGGGCTTATGTGTATCTGAATAAATGTATATATATATGTATATATATATATATGCCACTGATACGAATCCAATTTCTCAGCGGCAACAATAAAATACTCCGCACAGCCTTCTGTGGAGGAGGCGGAGCTGAGCTCTGCGACTGAGACGGAGGCTGTAACCGAATCCAAATCTGAGACTGAGACTGAGATGACGATAAGCGAAAATGGCGTACCGCCTTATGACGCGACTTAACGGGATTCCCCGCGTCCTGATTATGGGCATAAATACGAGCCAAAACCCCTCACCCACAACACATGCGAGGAAAATTTAAATAAACTGATAAACGAATACACACTAAGCCCCGGCCAACGTTGATGTTTTCCAAAAGATTCCAAATGCCGAGCAGCAGAAGATACTCGTACGGCAAAGACAATAAGACCAAAGTTGCGATATACGACCAGGATATACCCATTGTATTGAAATATATGATATATCTGAGAAAGATCTATAAATCCTAGGAAATATGTTCTTCAGCTTGGAGTATTTATTGCTCTGTTAGCATCAGACTTTCTTGAATGTATTTATAAAAGCTATATCCCCTTTGATACTTAACAAATACCTTGTACAAAAATGAAGACAGGCAAGCTGCTTTAATTAAAGCCAAAAGCCAGTGGAGTTGGCAATGCAATGGTGGCTCTGCTGGACCACATCCGTGGACCTGGTCGCCAAGTCGCTTTTGTTTATGACCCGCAGCGGTCGCAGCGATCAGATACAGTATCTTCACCTGACACTGCGACTGGGTCCGCCCGATCCCGGGGCTGGACATCGGCCGGCAGTTGTGGTGGTGACAATTTATGACATACAACCTGGAACAACTCCAGCTCCTGCAAGTCCTCCTCCTGCTCCTCCTTCCTCGAACCCAGCAATGGATGCCGCAGTAGCTGCTGGCCAATGGAAAGGCGTGCTTATGAAAATCATAAACATTGAACGGCGGCCAAGCGGTGACATTCGAGCAACGAATATGCATTTTAATAAAATATCCTAAAAGCCATATAAATCACATCCGACCGGGAGCATCGCGTGAGTTTATCTGCCGGCAGTCCACTTAATGGGTTTTACCATCCTCATGGAGCTGCTCCATATCTCCCTCTTTGTGCTTTTGCATTGTTTCCCTCATTTAAGTTAACTAAACTTTAAGTTGAAGGGAGGAAAGGAATACAATTCACTTTTGTTTCAATGATCTTTATGGTCTTAAGGTTTATTTAAATTAAGAAAAACTTTAGGAAAGTAAAATTCCTATATGAATCTTTTATATAGTTTACTTCATATTTTACGATTTTATAAAGTCGATTCATTGGCCTTGGTCATGTTAAGAATTATTTAATCTATGGTTCCCTCAGACCCCATCAAGTGCCAACTGTCAAAATATTCAAAAACCGACACTTTTCGTCTAGACTTGTTGGACAGCCTCAGGCTCTCATTGGTTATACTTCTTGGCCAATTATCAATATATATCTGAGCTTGAGGAACTGATGCCGGATCCCGACCTCAGGATCTCGAACTGGAGCAGCTATAATTATGACATATGACGGCACTGAGAAGCCAGGACCAAACGACCCATGTCAAAAAAGTCTACGTAAACATGAGCATAATTTGGATCGGCTGGGAGACGTGGACGAGGGTCTTAGGTTCGTGGAATAATGATGCTGGACTCTTGACACATTTGAGTGCTAATTTTAAAAGTCTCGCACATGAC